AACGGAAAACATTTTATTTAATGGCTTGCTCACATCTCACATTTTATGCAACTGTACATGCTCTGTTAGTATGTGCAAACATACAGCATGAAAACAAGAATTGAAGAACACTGCTGTATGCCATCATTTTGTCATTTTGACCACGCATCAGGTGGAAGCATGCTAACTTTTGATCACTGTTTAGTGGTACTTTAGGGCAAGCTTTGAAAGAACTTCTGCACTTTTAACTAAAAATAGATTTCTGATTCAGCTAGGTAATTTTTGCTATTTCTGCAGCTAATCTTAATACATATAGCAATAAATGGTGTAGAGGGGATACTTACCTGGGAAATGATAATCATTAAAAATGTTCTATATGACACTTTCACAATATAGAGGCTTTTGTAGAAAATTTTGCACCGAACAGCATTTGGTAAATTTAGTCTAGTCTGCTGCAAGGATGGAATGTAATACTTATGGATCCCACAGAACCTTAAACGTTTTAAAGGATAAGTTTACCTTTGAGAAAATGTTACATGTTCCACCTGTTTTTAGGGTGGAACATGTAACATGTTCCCTATCCTGAAGCCTCTGCCCACTGCCCCCCCTACCAGTGACAGAAATACGGGGAGAAGTTCCCCATACTAGCTTTCGGTTTTCAAAATCAGTGTGGCCTTTAGGAACTCTGCCTACACACAGCAGTGTCATTCATTCACAGTGTTCTGTGAATAAATGGACTACAAGTCCCGACAGCCTTAGCAGCTGTCAGCTTGTAATCCTCAATTAACTACCACAGTGTTGTGAGTGCTGTGGTAGTTCACTGAGTCTTCCTGTCAGCAAGTATTGGATTGCCTGTATGGGATGTACGAGCAAGCAGATACACTGACAATTTGCAGGAGACCTGCATGGCACCAGCGATCTACTGATCACTGGTGCAATGCTTTACAGGCTCCTAACACAAATAATAATAAAAATGCACATTTTTTTTACCTGCAAAAAAATGTGCATTTATTATTTTTAATGGAAAGGTGAACTTATCCTTTAAAATCTTTTCATAGTAGTAAAAGTCAGTTCTGAGTTATATATCCGGGAGAGTATTAAAAAATATATGAGAGACATGATACCTTTTTTACTTACCTTGCCTCAGCTTCTTCTGGGAATACGTTTGAAAAGGTAATGTACTAAAACTTTCAGAAATATTTTCAGGGGGCTTGACATTTTCTGGATGCAGGGAAAGATCTTCCTATGATTATCTTAAAATGTATGCCCGTTCAAAATGTTGTTGTAGTCATGATATAGCAGGGAAGCACTGGATCCCCTGTTCTATTTTTAGTTCTATCTCTGACTTTGTTACAGAGATTTTCTTTTACTTACTAACATGGTAACAACAGTTTCACCAGACAGGAAGTAAGGGGGGACTTTTTTAACAGCAACACAAATGGAAATAAAAATGCTATTTAGTGAAATATGAGTAAGACAAGAACCCCTGTAAATGTTTTTTTTTTCTTTTTTTTGCTGTCTCTGTCCCTGTTGTGGATTTTCCCTCATGTCCTGCCAGGTGAAACTATTGTTACCCTGACAGATATTACCCAGTGCTGGCATGGTGATCACACAATGTACAAAATAAATATATAAATAAATAAAACAAAAGGAGCCTCTGTCACCCTCAGAAGTCCTATATAGCCCATTCTACCCTTAAAAAAACCCTCATGCATTCATTCCAATATATTACATCAAAATGATGAATATCACATAAATGTCCTGATGTTCTCTTTATTTTCAGCAAAAGCTGTCATTTTTGCTCAATCTTGCTTTTCCCCATAGGGTGATTTTAAGTTTTTTTATACACTTTATTTTTAATTTTTAAATAGTGGATTACATTAAATCACATTGAATCTGCAACACTATTTATAGGATAGTAATATTATAGATACACTATATACTGTATAGCATTTGTACACAAACATGTTTTTTTTTACTATCTTCTTTTCTCTTTATACATGTATTAACATAAAATGTCCTGCACGACTAATATTTACTAAAAGATTACATCCCATTCTTTTGTTGTTCAGTCTTTTAACCATGATCCTCAAATGCAAGCAAAATTACCATAAAGTAGTAAACACATTACAAAGGAAATCTTAAGCACTATAGCTTATGGGTATCATTAGCAGCCTAACATATTTATAAGTACAGTTTTGCATCTGAAGTAAAGAATATATTTTTTGTTTTAAAAGTGATAGTAATGTAATATACAGTAATTTAAATACTTTGTTTTACAGTAAGTACAGTAAGTGTAAGGTACAATGCTCTAATTTAACACAAAAAATAATGTTACTTACAGTGACTAGTTATAAAAGACTTAAAGAAAACCAAGAGTGTCAGACATATGTAGACTGAATCTACTGACCTCGTCAGAGAATATTAGTTGCTTGGTTGCCTCTACTATAGCTTTAAATTCCAACTCCAAGAAGCCAAAATCGTAAAGCAAACCTGTGGTCAAAATATAAAGTAATATATTCATTTACACATTGTATTTCAATTTATTTAAACCTACTCCTGCTAACTTGAATGATCTTAAAGTATGTAAACTTTCTTTGGGAAGATCCCCATACATTTACTTGAATTCTGTGACATGCCTTCACTATACCCTGCGAGCAGGCACTACTCTGTTCCCAGGGTCTGCAGTCTAAACTACAGAGATCCTGAGAGGAGGAGCTTCAGGAGCAGAGTAAGTACAGGAATTACAGCTTGCAGGCAGTAAGATCCCATTGAATATGTAGTCCTTAGAAATTTAAAGCACAACAGCAGAGGGGAAGCTGAAAAGCATGCAGGGAACCCAGACATTTGTGGAAACAGATGGCCAGCAGACAGGCAGCCTCACAACAATAAAGAACATTTTTCATGTTAAACGCATATTTTTAGAGTTATTATGTTATCAAACTAATAAAAAAAAAAGTATCTGTAAAAAAAAAAACTTTACAATACCTAAAAATCACCTTTAAAATTATTGTCAAGTGACCTTCAAAGTGTATTTCTTCTCTCTCTTAGTGTTGGCTAGTGGGACAATAGGAACAGTACACATATGTCATTGAACACAATCACTACAGTGTTTTCAGTCAGTCAGCTTTTTAGCCTGAAGGGGGTCTGGTGAGGGAGCTTGTGTGGATGTAGGGGTGGTTATCTTGCTTATTGATACCCTTGACTTTGCTCATGCAGAGATCAGGAGAACAGTATTTCTATAAGAATGGAAGAAGACTGCACTTCTTTTAGTTTTCAACCTTGGCAATAAATGGGTTCTCGTAGTGATTGGTAATAGATGGGTGATCATAGACTGTAGCAGATGTCGCTACAAAGACCACAGTAAAATGGTGAGACATCACCAGCACTCCTTTGCAAACATAAACACTCTTGTATTAGTGCAATGTCACATCAGTTAAGTCAATGTTTCAAGGCCATGCTGGTTTCCTTCCTCAAGGTGACATAGTGATGATCACTATGTTGCCTTGAGAATGGGACTCTTCATGACCTTGAAACATTGGTTTATTTGACTGATGTGATATTGCAGTAATGAAAGTTTTGAGGTATTTTACTTCCACATGGTGTAAAAGCTAAGATGGGAGTTGGGCTTTTATACTTGCTGAGTCACTGACCTGAAACACATGTAGCCAAAGAAGTAAAATCTTGTTCTCTGCATACTGGGTCAGTATTTGTGAAAGTTTTACAACAGCGTGAAGTGATGCAGTGCCAGTGAATTTAGCAAAAACAAAAACAAAAAAACAATGTTCAAGGTGCAAAACATGAAGTGTCTCTTAACTCAAATTCCATATATTTCCAAATAAAAAAGATCTTCCACCATCCAGCAGATCTGTGTAGTGTAACAAAAACACCAAGCGCCACCACCTTAATCAAAAGCTCACTTACTAGACCATAAGCTGTAATAGGCACAGTGGACGCAAATGTTTCTCAGGCACAAATCCTCTCAATGTGTATGCACTTCCACTCTGGAATCACTCCTCGTAGGCAGCAGCAAAAAGCAACTCCCACTGGAACAGACAGAGCTCACCAAGGAGCCAACAGAATGCCAGTGATAGCATAATAGTTTAAATAAGGGCTTATTGTAGAATGGAGCCAGTCATCTAGTTAAAACAATGTGAGAGCAAAAAAACTGTAAAAACTCACTGAGAGAACCACTGATGACCTGGAATCGCGCAGCAGCTTGACATTAGCACTAAGACTCTGTCCAGACTAGTTTCATCCAAGTGGACATTCTCAAGATGTCCTTAGGTGTCTCACGTCAGCCATCTTTTTGTAGTCCACTTTACCCTTCCTACAGAAGGCGACAGGTTTGTACGTGTCTAATACCTCCCTGTCTTGGATGTGAACAATCTTTCCTCAATGAGATCTTTGAGTTACCTGATGGTAGCAGTGATCACTAGTGAAAAAACTTGTTTGCCAAGATCACAGTCTTAAATAATTGCTAAATTAACAGCTATTTTTATGTCTTTGTATAAAACATAGTTTGTATGTATTGGTCATGATGTTTTCCTTCCTAGCTATAAGTACATTTTAAGTAAAAGCAAAACTTATTGTAGCTGATTTAAAATAAAGTGTAGGTTCTCTTTTAGATGGTGAATGTTCACTTTCCTTAGGGTAAAGCTGTGTTCAATTCAGTCATATGAAAGCATAAGCCATGTTTTTCCATTTTACACTGCACATGATAGGAGTGAACTCAGCCCCACATTATTTACTAAGATAACTGAACATTCACTTATCTAAGTTGCCTAAAGCCAGCCATATATGGATCAAATCTGGGCTGGTTCAACAGGGACTGGCCGAGATTCATATCCATCTATAGGCAGTCTGGTTGTACCCAAATCAATCCATTATTTTATGGCAGGAAAAAAATAATCAGAAATGCACTATATTGCCAAAAGTATTGGGACATCCCTCCAAATCATTGGATTCAGGTGTTCCAATCACCTCCATGGCCACAGACATATAAACTCAAGCACCTAGGCATGCAGATTGCTTCTGCAAACATTTGTGAAAGAATGGATCACTCTCAGGAGTTCAGTGAATTCAAGCATGGTACCGGGATAGGTTGGCACCTGTATGATAAGTCCATCCGTGAAATTTCCTTGCTACTTAATATTCCCTGGTCAATTGTTAGTAGTATTATAACAAAGTGGAAGCAACTGGGAACAACAGCAACTCAGCCACGAAGTGGTAGGCCATGTAAAAATGACAGAACGGGGACAGTGCATGCTGAAGCACACAATGCACAGAAGTCGCCAACTGTCTGAGTCAATAGTTAAGACCTCCAAACTTTGTGTGGCCTTCAGATTAGCATAACAACAGTGCATACAGGGCTTCATGGAATGGGTTTCCATGGCTGAGCAACTGCATCCAAGTGATACATCACCACATGCAATGCAAAGTGTTGGATGCAGTGGTGTAAAGCACACCGCAACTGACTCTAGAGCAGTGAAGACATGTACTCTGAAGTGACGAATCACAATTCTCTGTATGGCAATCTGATGGATGTGTCTGAGCTTGGCGGTTGCCAGGAGAACAGTATTTGCCTGACTGCATTGTGCCAAGTGTAAAGTTTGGTGAAAGGGGAATTATGGTGTAGGGATGTTTTTCAGGGGTTTGGCTTGGACCCTTAGTTCTAGTGAAGGGAACACTTAAGGCATCAGCATACCAAGACTTTTTGGACAATTTGATGCTCCCAACTTTGTGGGAACAGTTTGGGGACAGCCCCTTGCTGTTCCAACATGACTGCACAGCAGCGCACAAAGCAAGGTCCATAAAGACATGAATGAGCAAGTTTGGGGTGGAGGAACTTGACTGGCCTGCAGAGAGTCCTGACCTCAAGTTGTTATAGCTGCAAAGGGTGAGACAACTCAATATTGAACCCTACAGACTAAGACTGGGATGCCATTAAATTTCATGTGCGTGTAAAGGCTTTTAGCACTATAGTATATAACTGGGTTGATCTACCAAAGGAGTAGACACAATTCAGCAAAGCAGATGAATGATAGCATATACTGTAAATCAAACCTGCATTCACTTTGAATACCAATCAATGCTTGGTTTTTTAATGCCCTTCTACCTGATTGGGAATTCAAAGTGTATAGAGCTTTAGTTTGTTTACTGTGCCAAGTAAGTGTTCTCCTCTCAAAGTGAAAATCCTCGGTTGTTTTAGAAAATCAACCCAAATATGTCAACAACCTAAACAAAATAGTAAGTATAACATCGAGAAGATCTTTGCTGCCCAAGATAAACTATTTGTTGAACACAGTGACATAATAAAACAAATATATCAGAAAGTCTATTTCTAGCTTAGTTTGGGTAACTACCAACATATGTATTTACAACCTAATAGTAAACTAGCAGTCTTATTTTATTTTATTTTATTTTTCTCCATGGTTATTTTAATATCAACAAGCAAGTAAAGTGTTGTTTATGAGTGGTATAATTATACACAATTCGTATTGAATTTTGGAGGCATTATCACAAGAAAGTACAGTATCCTTTTTGAAAAGGTGTTTTTTTCCCATAGATTGGACAATGTTCTAGATATTCCTCTTTTCTGCAAAGCTCTTTGGCTGCCATGTTTTCTATTTGAACAAGACTGTCTGCAAATTTTAGTAAACCCTTTCTTCTCTGTTCATGAGGGTTTTTTTTATTATGTTGCAGGCAATCATGGCACTTCAATCTGTTATTTGTTATCTCTGTTCTATCCTATTTCCTCAAGGTTAAATGAAGATCTTAGTTAGAGATACATGTACGACCTATATAATGGAATCAATCGATACATTTAGAGAATGCTTTGAGAAATAAATAGGCTCATGAAAGGATACTCTCAATCAACACAAATTCTGACTAAACAAGCAGATATTTAACCCTTTATAACAAATTACTGCTTGCTGAATACTACATTTCTGATTGTTTGATCATTTTAATCACACAATCATAAATAGAATATTCAGCAAACAGTATTTTTTTATAAATTATTTGCTTAGTTTTAACTTACCACCATGTATCTTGTAGTATTTTTTTTTTATTGCATTTCCTATACACACATTTTAATGGTAAGTTAACTTCTTGGTACGCATGCCTACTGTGAACCATAAGCCAGTAGTTCGTGATGCATAGCTGGCTCAAGGGCAACAGGAAATTATTTGCATGATTTGCTAAAATAACCAACAACCTCTTTTATGTTTATGATAGAAATTAGACATTCAAGTGCCTTCTGCTTTAAAAAGTCTCCTTGTGCTTTGCATTGGTTTAGTGATGCGCTTTCTGGTTCATTTTGGTCCACCTTACCATACCTGTCTTGTTATAAAGTCTAATTTACTGATAGTCAGGTAAAAACATGCCATTCTGATTTGCTTATGGACTTTGCAGTATATGAGTGTATGTGATGCACAGCTATATTTTTTCCTAACGCTTTGCTGGCAAGCTGTCTTTTTAATGTCTATGCTCATATAATGTGTGCAAGCAAGTTTATTCAACTTTCTGTTCTCTTGACATTATTATTTCTATTTTTTAGTATTTTAGTAGCATTGCATGATTTCAGGTGAATACCCATGAAAAATAGTTAATTTAGTTTCTTTTATGTCTTTAAAAACATTAATTTCCAATACTTGTTTAATACATCAGTACAATTTAAAATGATGTACTGAACTTTTAGAGAATTTATAAATGTATAATAAGGTATGTATCATACATTGCTCTATGTATTTTATGTTTAAAGTGAAGCTCTAGGTTGCTGTTAAAATTAACCATGCAGTGGAGGCCCCACCCCTGAACTGCATAGGATAAATGTTTGTTTGGCTAGGGAGAACAGAATAGTATAAATCTTTTCCTTATTCCATGCTTCCTCAGGATTCCTACTCTCTGTTTGACAAGGGCCCTAAAGCTGCTTCTCTTCACTGTCTGGCTGGTTGCAGCACTCTCAGGTCATCATGTGAAATGCAGGACCAGCAGTTCTACATTGTATTGGAGGTTGGCAAGAACTCACCCAAATCCAAAGCTTTAACTCTCCTAGTTAAAACTTTTAAGCCATGCAGAGCAAGGGGAAACTCCACTTCAAGAGTTCAAATTTAACAGCAGCCCAAAGTGGGACTTCAAAAGATATCTACTTAAATATGTTAGATAACACTTTAAAGTTCATGTTTACTTGGTCTATTAAGCTATACGGATTTTACTCTAAATTAAACAGTTACATGCATTGGAATATATACACATACTGTGTATATATATATATATATATATATATATATATATTTTTTTTTTTTTTACATTTGCTTGTAAATATCTATCCATTGGCAATAACAATTTATTTTGTGCATTTTTACTGACAGAAGCTATGTTTATTAAATCTTTGTAACCTTCCCTGTTCTATTATCATTATTAGTTAATGGTCCTATAAACAGATTCCAGTAAATAAGGTGTTATGTTGTTGCTTTTAAAACTTAAAACCAAAAATCCTAGTATGTTAAGTTCTCTGTAGCTAGTTCTTTTTACCAAAGGTCAGTGGAATATCCCAAGGATTTAAACAGTTAAACCTATTAACCTAATGCTATTATAAAAACTTCTGTATTCCTTTTAATAGTTGCTTTTCTGTGATGCTATCCTTTCATCGCCTTTTAGCCAGACTTTTGAGGTCTAAAAAAAACCTTTATCAGTTTTCCGTTTGTTACATTATTTAGATTCAGAACAAAACACAGCATGCTCTCTGCAGCCTATTACTGCATTCTACTGATTCTTTTAAGCTTTTAGGCTGTATTTGGTCATCATCAGCAAAGCAGTTATTATTTTCTATGTTTTTTTTTAGGGATGTCATAAAAGATGTTCTTCTTCAGCAAAGCTTCTTGACCAAAACAGTGGTGTAAAAATCTATAAGTAAAATGTGTAAATTTCTGCTTTCCAGATCATAGACACATTTGAACCTAAATCTAGAAGTATTTTTCCTAAACAGCATGTGTCGCTTACACACTGAGAAAGAATAATATACTAAGCTTTCTGTAAATCTCATGCTATGCTTTTGGAAAGCAAGAAAGTTTCTTTATTCTTATTGCTTCTGGAAAGAGAAAATAGACTTTAGCAGTCATCTAGAATATCACCTTCATTAGGATGTGATAAAATAGTAATCATGGCACCTGTATCATATAATAAATACATTATTTGCTGAACACATTAATCTGAATTACAAGGTTAGTTGTTTTGAATGTCCTTGACACAAAGGTCACTATACTGTCAATTTAAAGATATACAATATGATATGTGGTTTTTATCTGTCGTTACTAGAAATGAAATGAACATACCTGGGTTATGATCAAGGTGGATCCACAGAAGAGGGCTAAAGTCCAAGAATTTGATCCCCCACCAGGAACAAGAATATAAAAAATAACAATTACCATTTTCTAGGCTAATAGGTAAAACAAATGGCATGAGGGGCTGGGCACTGCCCTGGAAAACATGTACCAAAGCAAAAAAACTATTTTTAGAAATGTAGTTTTGCCAAGACAAAGGGTAATATTAAAAATGCAAAGTTCCTTTAAATAACATGCCTGGGGAATGCATTTAGCCTTCTGGAAAAAATTACAACTTTGGCCACTTTATTTCTGCTTGTAAAAAAAAATGCCTGTGAATGCTGTTCACCTATTCAGACCCTTATCATAGATGAAGGTCTCATACAGATGATAATGGAGGACTCCCCTCCCCCCAAAAAGATGTGGGGTTTGGTTACAAATTTTATGGGGAGCCCCACACACACAAAAAAAAGAAAAAAGTGTGCCCCCCCTTACAAATCCATACCTAACCCTTATCTGAACATGCAGCTTGACAGGCCAGGGAAAAGGGGGAAGAGCATGTTCCCTCCACTCCCGAACCATAACAAGCCACTTATCCCCAACATGGGGGTTACCTGACAAATGCACCTTGACCCTGTGTTTTATCAGGACAATGGTCTCTTCCCCAAAACCCTGCCCAAGTTGTTGTGGGGATCTGGGAATGAGTAAGGCATATATAGTACCCATACTCATTCACAAATAAATAAACAAATAAATAATCACCCACACACAGATTTTAATAACAGACACACAAGTCCTTTAATAAAAAAACATCATCCAGTGATGCAGTTCCACATCAATCATGATAAACTATGCTCGCTGACTCACTAAAAGGGAGAACCCACCAACACGTCCAATTCTGTTGCTTCACATGCACCAAATGATGTCTCCCAGACTACGCCTCTAAAGAAAACAAATGGAATTGCTAGATGATGTGATTGATGGTAGATATACATTGTGGGAATTTTTTTAATTAAAGGAGTTTTATGTGTTTATTCGTGTGTGTTTATTTAACCCCTTACCGCACAATCACATACCTGGTACGTCATTGTACTTCAAGTAGTTGTACCGGGATGATGTCTGAAGTTGCAGGCATCACCTACCATTTTTAGAGCCAG